CTCATTCAACAATGATTTCAATCAGACAATCCTCAACAGAACCATAGAAATTTACAGCACAGAAGAAGTCCTTTAAGCCCATCATGTCTGTGCCGGCTCTTTCAAGAGCAAACCTTTGAGACCCATTACCTGCCCATCCCCTATAATTGACTCCTCTTTAGGTTTCTGTCTTGTTCCCTTTTGAAAGCTTGGATTCTGCCTCAACTACCACTCCTGATAGTTCAATCCATATCCTGTTTGTGTGTGTGTTTTTGTTTGTATGTTTGTGTGTGTGTGTGTGTGTTTGTGTGTGTTTGTGTTTGCGTGTGTTTGCGTGCGAGTGTGTGTATATATAAAACCTTGGTTAGACCACATTTGGGGTATTGTGGAACATTGTGTCCAATTCTGGTCTCCACACTATAAGAAGGATATAACAATGATGGACAGAGTACAGATAGGTTTACAAGGATGATACCAGAGCTGCCAGGTTACTAAAAACTTGGTCATTTAATCCACGACTGTTTGGGGACGCTGCTGTGCGCAATTGGCTCCAAACTAAACATGTTTAGATGGATGTTCAAGATCCCCTGGCACGATTCAAAAAGAAAAAGGAGTTTGTCCCAGTGTCCTGGCCAACTGTTCTCCAAATCAAATGGTCTAAATTAATTGGTCATGGATCTCCATGGTGGTGGGTTTCTGCGTGTGTCAGACAGCCGGCTGACTAAAACAAATCAAACCACTTAACAGGCTACTCTGCAAACAGTAGTGACTGTGGATTTGGTAAGTAAACATGGCCACTGATTTGCGCACAGCAATGTTTCACAAACAGCCATGAAGCGAGCAACAGGGAATTGTTGGCCTGGACACTGAAATAAACTCCCTTCTTTCTTAAAAGGGCAATTGATAGATACTTGGGAGATTAGAGTGTTGAGTGATATGGAGAAAAGATTGCCTTTATCTAATAAACCGGTGCGACTGGCTTGAGGGTCAAATGGCCTCCTCCTGTATTGCTATATACTAAGGCCTGAGATGGATTTAGAAACATTTGGTGGCAAATGGGCCTGAGATGGGAGCAAATCTGTAGATTGATAGAACCATCAACAATTTCTTGGATTAGACGGGGCTGGTTTCATTGACAAGTGTATTTTACCAAATGTGTCTTTCTTTGGAAATTCCATCCTTTGAAACTCCTTCCCACAGTCCTTTCTCCTCGCCCTCTCTCTTGCCTCCTTCAAGGCTCGTCTCAAGACTCTCCTCTTCAACCACGCCTTTGGTCACCCTCCTACCCTCCCCTCCCCGCCCTCCACCCTTCCTGATCCCAACCCGCAGCTTGGGTCCAAATCCATGACTGTCCAGCACCTTGGGACATCCTCCCAACATGAAAAGCTCAGTGTAAATGTTATTTGTTGTTGTTCTGGAGCTTAACTTCTCCAAGATCCACAGAACCCTAGACAACACCAGAAGGCCATTTGACCCATTGTATTAATGCCAGTGTTTGCTCCTCTGATTCCAATCCCCTACTCGGATAGTTGCTGGCATAAAACTCAGGGATGAAGTATCTGGGATTGAAAAACTCGCTCTGGGCTGAGCTCACAAAAGGCTAAATGCAACAGTAAGAATCTCCTGCTACATTAATGTGCAAGTGGAAAAGATATTGACTGTTTCTCTCAGGGTTACAGCGGAAAGATATTTGTCTCAGGATTACAAGTGGATTGACTGAGGCTGCAATTCACATAAAGTAAAGCTTTCACTCTTCACACTGACATCTGAATCCAGCTCGGAGAGTTAGAGAGATAAATGGTACAAGATTTGGCTGTAACTGGGTCAGTGGAGATTGACACTAGACACAGGTGTAAAGTTAGCAATTGCCGACTTTCTGATGAGACATTAAATCGAGGTCCCGTCTGCCTGATCAGGTGAATGTTAAAGATCCCGCGACACAAGTCGAACAGAGAGGTGAAGTCTCCCGAGTCCCTGGCCAACAATCCTCAAACAAAATTGGGTGTTTGGTTCCTGGATGTTTGTGGAACATTGCTGCTCACAATTGGGCTGCTGTGTTGGCCTTCAAATACCAGTAAAGCGCTTTGGGACATCCTCCCGATGTGAAGGGCACTACCAAATGCAAGGATTATTATTAGTATTGTTGTGTTGTATAAAGTTATGCTGACGTAGAGACCGAGAGATGGCAGGACTTCAGTCCTGTGGCTTGTGGAGTCCTGTAGTGTATTGGTTAAAGCAATCGCCTCACAAGCGAGAGGACCTGGGTTTGATTCCCGACAAGTTTCCTTACTCCACACACACACTCCTCTGTTTATCAGCAGTAAGTAGAATCCGCTTGTTAGTCGATTGTCGGGTCACTTTTCCAGGAATAATAATCTCTTAAAAAAAATTGGTGTCTCAGTCCACGACTGTTTGTGGGACACTACTGTGTCCCATTGGCTGCCACGTTTCACCCACAAAATATACAGTCGTACAATATACAATGTGTCCTGTGAAGCGCTTTGAGACGTTTCAAAGAAGTGATAAGGCATTGTATCAAATGCAAAGATTATTATTATTGGTATTATTTAATGTTACTGACTTTTACTCAGTTCTTGTGCGTCTCTGTGCAGACTGTGGTGCTGTTCCTGATTGGGTCACTTTGCAGTGTTTGGGATAAAAGCAGATTGTTAAATCTAAACGGCAATATTAAAATATTAAATGGGCCCAAGCGAGAGAAGGAAACAATATCTAATTAAAGAGATTTGAAGAACGATCTAAAAATTGTTTTTGACACTGGCGTTTGCCACCCTGTCATTAATGTGACAAGACGCAACATTTAGATTCGAGAGTGTCAGAGAGAAATGGGGTGGGGGGTTGCGGGTGGGGGGTGGGATATGGAATGGATTAATATTGACGAGCGGCTAATGTATACACAGGGCTGAAGACACATCTCGTCTTTGGCTAATTACAAATGGTTGCTACAGGAGAGCTGCCCAATCTGTGAAACTCCCAACATGCACATCAATAGAGCAGAACAGTTAATTTCCTCTCATTGCAATCTCGATCGTAGTTGAGACACACGCAGTTCCTCTCCGCGTACAATAACTGCTATTAAGAAAGCTGGCGAGATTATTCTTCTGAAGCTGCTTGCTTAATTACATAGAATACTGCATAAATTGTCAAGTGCAAAGAATAATTCTGATAAATTAAAATACTAATTAAATAGGCCTTTCTGCAGATTTCTGAGAACATTATAGGGTTCAGCTCTTGCAAACAGCCATTTGCATATCCTTCATCTGGGAATTTCATTTTTTAAAAGATTTCCTTGTTGTACCCTGAATTATTGATGCCACCAAAACAGAAAGGCCCAAGCACAATCATTCTGTTTAAAGCTAGTAATGTGATCTTTCTATTTTCTCTCTTTCTCTCTTCCTCCTCCCCCATCCCGCTCCTCTCTCTCTCCAATTGATCAAGACCCACACTGTTGTTTACCAGCCCAGGCTTTACCGAGGCTGGAAGCGATCAGGAACTGAATTTTCAATAGAAAAGGTTCAATGGCCAAATGTTCAGCAAGCGGCCAGGATTATTTGCAGCGATGACTGGCTCGGAGAGAAGAGAGTCGCTGAGGGTGGCCTCGGGCTGTTATTTGGCTCGTTGCTCACTGTGTCAAAACAGTATGAACAAGGCAGCAATAAACAAGGCAAAACAGGATGCTAAGCTATATTATATCATTGAATTACAAATCCCCACAAGTCTGTACTGTACTGTGCGAGAGAACAATGTACAGATCTGGTCTCCCTGACATTAGGGGCTTCTCAATACCCCTTTGATCTGAGTTTATCTTTCAATCCCATTTCAAATTTGAGACACTTCTATGAGGTCACCTCTGTGTCATCGCTCAAGACCAAAGAGCCCAAGATTGTCAGATCTCTGTTCATTCCTCTAACATTCAAGATCATCCCCTGTGCTCTCCTCTGTCTCTAGGGCCTGGGCAGCCTCTGATGTTGAGGTGACCAGTATTCAGTAACAACAACAACAACAACAACCTGCATTACACAGTCCCCTCACGCAGGGTTCCAGAAAGTTTGACAGTAGCGGAGCACAATGCTGTGTTCAAGGTGCGGTCTGACCAGAGCGATGTGCAGCCTGAGTCTGCTGCCGGGAGATCTACACTCAACTGATTTAGCGACATGGCCCAGTGTAACTCACCTCTCTCTATAGATGCTGCCTGACCTGCTGCGTGTTCCCAGCGATCTCTGTTTTTATTCCAGTATTCTGTTTGCCTTATTTATTGCTGCCTCACACTGTTTGGACAGAGTGAGCCAAATTTACACCCCTACATCTTGTTCAGATTCTCTCTCGTCAACTTCTAACCCATCTATTTGTGTCTCCTATTCTTAGATCTTATATGTAGTCTTGTGGGCAATTGGTTGCTGCGTTTCACCCACCAAATACAAAGTCACTACACTTTACAGTATATCCTGTAAAGCGTTTTGAGACATCTCAAAGACATGATAAGGCGCTATATCAAAAGCAAGGATGATTATTATTAGGGTTATTAGGATTTTTACTATGTTGCATTAATCTGGTTTATAATAATCCTTGAATTTGATATATAGTAGTCCCCATCAAATCATTGAGAATATGCACCACCAACAGTGGAACAAGAGGGTACAGGTTTACGGTTGCAAAGGGCAATTTCAGGACAGACACCAGGATGTTTATCCACGAGGGGTAATTAATGACGGGAACAGGTTATCAGGAAGGATGGTTGAAGCCAGGAAACTGGACTCATTTGAAAAGCAGCTTGATGCTGGATCAATTCAAATTTCAAGACTGAGGTGGATAGATGTTTGTTAGGTCAGAATATCGAGTGGTATAGAGCAATGGTGGATAAATGGAGTTAAGATACAGATCAGCCATGAACTAGAATAGAATGGTGGCTTGAGGATCTGGATGCCTTTCTCCAGTTCGTATGTTGGGAGGACAGAGGGGTAGGTGACACTGTGTGTTAAACTTGTCTGATCTTTGTTTTGCAGTGACCAACAAAGAAACACTTGAAAAGAAAACTGGATTAAAAATCTTACAAGCCGGCATGGGGGAGGTAAGTGACAACACACCTCTGGCTTGTTTCCTGTCATTGAGCGGCTTCTATATTTCAGTGTCAGTGAGGTGGGGTTGTCAGCTACAAATGGGGATCATTTTACTCTGTGATCAACGGGGTAGATAAGAGGCAGTGTACACGGGGCCTTGAGTCCAGGATAAGTACGTCAGGGTGTAAGATCCTCCTCCTGCTCCAACCCGGGGAACACAACTGGTTTCTTCATCAGCTGTGGTTAAATAATAATAATGATAAACAGAATATACTGTGTGTTGTGTGGGTGAAACCAGCAGCCAATTGCGCACAATAGTGTCCCACAAACAGTCGTGGATTGAGTGACCAAATTATTATTTTTAAAAATATATATATATTATTATAAAGAAACAAAAGAGAAATAAAATAGTAAATGGTGGGTTCAAGAAGGGAGGAAGACAGAGAGAGAGGTGGAGGAGATCTTGGGAATAAAAAGCCGAATTGCACAAGGGGAATTCTGCTGATCCGGTTGAAGTCAAGTCCTGCTAACAGACCAAAGCCATAATGTCCAAGACTCACACTTGTGGGGACTTGGTTGTGAATACGATTTGCCGACCTATTTAAATCACAAATGTCGGCAAGGCTTTGGGTTGAAGGCGAAAGGGATTTGAATGTGAGTCAGAGAATTACTGGAGATTATTACCAGATATTGATCGGCCATCAGTGAAGTCTGATCATTGTGAGTGTATCAAAGGCCTTTCTCTAGGTCTCTATGTGCAACACGATTCTCGCTCAGTGTAAAAGTTGATTTACCAGAAGTCGGGGATTAAACGGCAGCCCCTGGGCTAAACCTTCTGTGGAATGTCACTAATTACCTACAGCAGAAACGAGCAAATGTTTCACGTTCCAGCAATACAACTGTTACATTAATCCTCGCAAGTGACATAGAGCCTTATTATATCGTCCTCGAGGAGCCACTGGAAAGTGGAGTGACTGTGTATTTTGTGGGTGAACAAGGCTCCACAAGCAGGCTTGAGTGAATGACCATGTATATATGTAGGATTGTTGGCCAGGACACTGGAAGAAACTCCCTTCCTTTTTGAACAGCACCATGGGATATTTACAACAACTTGCATTTATACAGCACCTTGGTACGTCCTCCTAATGTGAAAGGCGCTATACAAATACAATATTGTTGTTGTTGTCCAGCGTCCTTCATGCAGGGCAGAGTCTTGAAGCGATTACTGTCCACCAACCAGGCAGCTCGGAGGTGTGGGTTGGTCACGCAGGGCTTTGGAAGCGAGGCGAGGATTTTGTATTTGATCATCTAGGGGCTGGGGACCCGGTGGAGCTGCGCTAGGATAGAGTGGGGCAAGAGGGAAGGAGAGCTCGCAGGAAGCTGGAGGGGGAGGACATGGGCTGAGGAGTTTCTTTGATAAGCAAAAGGAGACCTTCACTGAGAGACAGACTCTTACTGTAGTGGGTGGGTAATCCACCTTTTAGTCCCTGTTAATATAAAAGGGAACCTATTGGCCACGAAATAGATGCAAACATATTCCAGCCATGAAAGTTCTTGTTTGATACATGTTCAATTTTAATTTCCAATAGATGTTTAGATTACAGTGATTGAAAACAATATTTGAGCCCTTGTTATCACATGAATGAACAGAAGGTATAATTTCAACATGACAATAATAGGATTATCTGAAGCACTGTCAGTTTATGTGCAAACATTATTTTGCTTACATTTTCATAAAATTAGCAGCGGAAAATATTCCACATGATGAAAGGCGGGAGATCAGCTTTCATGGTAATAAATATTCATATTTGACTGAATCGTCTACTCTGGAGATGAAATCTAATCAAGGGGCTATTGATGCACCGGCTTCTTTTTAACCAAGAACATTTCATCTAAATTGGGTTTGAAATGGAAATGAGTCTGGCTCCGAGTCCTTCAGGCCAGAGTCCTGCTGTGACCACACTGGAAGGAGGTGTCCAGCCAGGCTCGAGCACCTGTGTCCACAAGCGACAGCAGAACCTTGGGCAGAGCCAGGCTCCCTGACCTCCAGTTCACATACAGCAACAATAATAATCCCTTTGTGTTGGAAGCGCTCCAAGACGCCCCCCGGCCTGAAGGCTGCTATACAAATACCCAGTCACCCTCCTACCCCCACCCTCCCCGCCCTAACCCACTCCTGATGCCAACCCCCAGCTCGGGTGCAGGTCCTGACTGTCCAGCGCTTTGGGACGTCCTCTCGACATGACTGGCGCTGTGTAAATGTCAGCTGTTATTGTTGTTTACACTCCACACTGTTTATTCAAAGGCAGCCAAATGAGTCCCACAAACAAACAGCCATGAAGTGAAGCATTTAACAATCCCAAAACACACCCAAAAGCTGCGTGACACCTTGAACGGCACTGCTAGTAAACCCCACGATCTCAATCTTGCCTTTCAGGATAATAAAACATTTGCTCAAAATGAGTTTCAAACACGACAGCGTTCATCGTGAGGGAAAGAGATTATTATGTCTTGTCATCTTTGATACATATTTTGCAATAAATAGTTCAATGCCGCAAATTTGCTACCACAGCAATTTAAGCTTTGTTTGTTTGACTAACAGTATATTTTACGCTTATTAAATAAACCTGGATTTTGTTGGTTATTTTAACTTCTGTTTGTGAGATTTCCAATTCTCGCCCACGGTGCTGCTAACCCAAGATATAAATGTCTATTTACAATTAGTCATGAAATTAATTCACTTGCATTAGGACTTCAGACACCTTATATTGGTTAGCTCCAGGCCATTGCTGCTGATTGACCAGCCAGCCAGGCTCGTCAGCAGGAGTTGGAGGGACAGACATGTCACTAGGAAGTGGATCCAAGAATGAAAATAAAAATTTGGTCATTCAATCCACGACTGTTTGTGGGACGTTGCTGTGTGCAATTGGCTGCTGCGTTTCATCCACAAATATATACAGTCGATTCACTTTACAGCATATTCTGTGAAGCGCTTTGAGGTGTGATAAAATGCAAGGATTATGTTAAAAGGTGTTATATCAAATGCAATGATTATTATTATGTTAACACTGCAAGCCAACGCAGTAATGGGTAAATTTGCCCTGGCTAGACAAACAGTGGGAAAGCTTGTAGGTCAGGGCTCTCAATGCCAAGCTAAGCGATTTTAGTTGGTTGAACTCCAGCAGTTTTTCTCAATGCACATTCAGCCTAATACTCTACAGAATTAGGTAAGCAGCGTCCCTACCTCCAGGGAGAGAGTGAATTCCATTCCAGACACAGGGACATTGCCACGCGTAGGTGACATGTATATGTGGAACTCTCAGTCCGGTTCAGATACCATTAAGCTCAGTGATGGTAGAGGGAGGTTAGAGGTGTGAGTGTGAAGGCTTGGGGAGGGTGGGGGACCCACATAAGCCAAGTGGAGGGGACGAACAGAGAGAGCGGGATGGGAGGAGATCAGGGAGGTGAGGATCAGGGAGGTGAGAAGGTGGGGATCAGGGAGGTGAGGAGGTGCTAAGACATGAAGCGATTTAATGGTGAAACCATTTGTTTAAATTAAAACTATTCATTGTTACAAATCATCTGCTGTGATAGTTTGGAACCACTTTGTTTTGTCTACAAACTACTCAGTCAAAATCCACTTTAAAATATAGGGATTGAGTGATCAAATTTTTTTGTTTTTGTTGATTTTGGAGGGAATATTACCTCGGAAAATCATATCCATCAATCGACAAACAAGCAGTTTCCTACTTATTGCTAGGTAAGCAGAGGCTTGTGTGTGTGTGTGTGTGTGTGGAGTAAGGAAAGGTTTTGCCCTGACCCGCCCGGGAATCCTCACAGGCTTTGCTCAGCACTGCATTGGAATGTCATCCTGGACTGTGAGCACAAAGTCCCAACATGATGCTTCACCTCATGATATTCTGACATGGAAGTGAGAGTGGGCCGGGCTGACAGCAATATCCAGAATTATCAGATGAAATAGATGCAAATTGACAGTGACCTCCAGAGACTTAGCAACGGCACAGATAAATGACAAATGGCATTTAATATTAAGAATTGCAATGTAATGCATTTTCATAATAAAATAGCAAATATGATTAGGGAATCCTTGAAGCATTATGTATAATCAAATAAGGTGTGCGTAGAAAACGATCTTAGTACTCTTCACTGATGAAAGGTTGAAAAGGGTTGCCCAGTGAGAGGGCAGCAATTGTAAAAGGCAAATAAAGTGTTGCTCTGCCTGGAAATCAAACGCAGGTCATAGAAACACAGAAATAGGAGAAGGCATTCAGCTCCTCGAGCCTGTTCCGCCATTTTATCAGATCTGTACCTCAAGTCCAATTACCCGCCCTTGCTCTGAATCCCTCGATCCCATGACCTGACAAACACCTATCCACCTCAGTCTTGAAAATGTGAGTGGATCCAGCCATAACCCACTGCCTTTTGGAGGAGAGAGTTCCAGATTTCCAATACCCTTTGGGTTACAAACTGCCTCCTAATTTCAGGTCCTGTCGCCTGTGAGGCAAGTGCTCCAAACAATCCACTGAATGCCTCCACATTCAGAGGTGGCAAATTGTTATGGAGGGACTGTTATCATGGAGGGACTGTTCCTTGACACATACCTGGAGTTTTACCATTGACTTTTGACCCCAAGGGAAGTGAATTTAAAACGAAATGCAACAAACAAATTGAGCTTACTCTGGTTTCAGTGCCTTGGGAAGTCCTCCTGACGTGAAAATGTAATTTGTTGTCGTTGTTGTTGTGGCTTTTCTCTCAGTTGCTCATTAAACAGTCCACCGCGGAACGCAGACACAGAGATTTGGGATTGAGGACTGAATGGAAAGATACAGCTGTAGAACCAAGGCAGGAAGGAGATAGGAAATGGTGACAGAGCTGTGGACCCTGGTAATTGTGCCTTCATCTTCATGCCGAGAGCTTCGCCCAACCTGCTCATAAAGTCTCCATGACTATCGGAGATAATTACATTTAATTGGTACCTCACAGTGGCATT